GTTCAGAACTAGAGATTTTCCCCACAGGGCACTTACTACTTGCATACATAGTACATGCATACCATTTATTTAAAATCACAGTAAAAATCAATAAGCTAAGATAGCTGTGGGAGACAAAGAGGTCATGCGAGCGAGTAAATATTTGCACACAATTGTTATATACTTATGCATATGTACACATACACTAATGGGCAAAATGATAGGTGCGAAATTCGAAATAATATTGTTTACAAGTTATGTTTATTTGTTTAGTTATTTTTAATAATTTTGATTTAGAATATAGTTCCATCTATAACAGACCCCAATTTTCATATAAATATTTAGGAGTACCGTTAATTTTTTCATGATCCAATAATCGGGTCCGAACCAATAGGATCAGCTGTGAGACACTACCTTTCCGATAGAAAAAGAATTATCGAAATCGGTGGAAGTGGTCCAAAGTTATGCGGCAACATAAAAAAAAAATGTTCAGATTATTTTCCTTTTATTGAAGTCGTTGTTGTTTGAGATTGAACATGAGAATGTGTGTGTGAATTGGAATTTTAAAATTATATTGTGTACAAGCGCCAGTGGTTTTACTTTGTAATGTTTACAAAAAGTTCACAAAGATTTACCGAATTTAAAAATTTTCATTTAATTTTTATATGGAAGAAGATGCGTAACACTCCGAAAGAATTTTTTTTGAAATTTAAATAATTTTTTTGAGAATTATGGAAGCCTTAAAACTTTTATTCATCTGGTTTCTGTTATGGATCGAACCATGATAAAAACATAGCAAGGTATAACCGTTCTCTCAATTTGTCGGCCATGATTTTTTTTTGAAGTTTGCCAACATTTAAAAATCATATAAAAGTGAAAATAAAAAATTGAAATTGTTCGAAATTGTTGTTGCTTGAGATTGAAAATGAAAATGTGTGTGTGAGTTTGTGAGTAAATTTAAAAATTAAATTGTTTGGAAACGTCAAGAATCTTAAAAGTGACTCTCAGCGGTTCTACCTTACTATATTTTTATCATGGATCGAACTACATTTTACATGAAAACTATTAAAAACAAATAAATAGGCATAAGTTGCAAACAATATTATATTTAAATTTTGCACCTATTATTCTGCCCATAAGTGTACATATATACATATATACATGTATAATCTGCTATTTGACACGCTGTAAAAAGGTTAGAATGGCAGACAATGGTAGACCAAAGGCAAAAACACACAAAATAACTAAATGTCGCAATGTCGCAGGGTCGTCTGGATAGCATTTGCAAAAAACGTAAATCACTGCAAAGGGGCAAGTGTTCGCTTCAGTGGGCCAAATAGATTTACAGAGTATGTATGCATGTAGATATATACAGTGACTCAAACAAATGACCACGAGTTGAATTTATTTAAATATTAATAGTCTTTTTCGAGCTAAATTTTGTTATTCAATACCAATACCGTCCAAGCTTTAACCAAAAAGCTTTCAAACTTCACAAGCTTTCGAACTTTGCAAGCTTTAACCAAAAAGCTTTCAAACTTCACAAGCTTTCGAACTTTGCAAGCTTTAACCAAAACCATATAAATCATAGTTTCAAACTTTATACAAAATTGAGAAAATTCAAAAAATTTTCATCACAATTTCAACTTTTTAATCTGAATCTCTAGAACATTTTTGGGTATGCAGTTTTATAGCCCATACAATTTTGGTGCAAGTTTTAACCAGCTACAAAAATTGGTGTTGATTTTTTGAAATTTTGTTGCTAACGGTCCCCGGCATTTTATTTCAAAAGAAATTCAGGAAAAAAAGTTGCGAAAATCCGTCAAAAAAAAGTCTCGAAAATCAACAGAACCTTGCACTTTATCAGGCTAAAATTTAATTGGCTATAAAAGTGCATACCCGAAAATGTTTTATAGATCCAGATGAAAAAGTTGAAACTTTGATGAAAATTTGTTGAATTTCCCTAAATTTTTTATAAAGTTTGAAACTAAGATTTATATGATTTTGGTTAAAGCTTGCATCTTTTTTTTTACAGAAAAATAACAAAAAAAACTCAACTCGAAAAACATTACAAATATTAAAAAAAAAAATGAACACGTGGTCATTTGTTTGAGTCACTGTATGTACATATGAGTATGTACTTAGTTAGTAAGTGTGCAAATATTTTACTGCAAATTGCGTGTTAAGAACACACAAAGTAGGCTTTACACTGGCGACAGGACATTGCGAAAATTTCGTTGTTATTGTGGTTGGGACCTTTTGCGATTTTCATTTTACATTTTTCTTTGCTAAGATTGAAAGTTGGTTTTATGCAGTGAAATTGTTACATTTTGGGTCGTAATTGTGTCGTCGATTTTACGAAGCGATGCAAGTGTTATTGGATAGAGTATTTCTTTTTTATTACAAGCTTTTATTTAACTTGCAATGTGTGTATGTATGTGTGTATGTATTCTTGTTTGGGTAAAATCTTGCAATCAATTTTGACTAACTCCCCGATGGGTAAGAAATTTGAAGCTTCCAACATAGGTGGCACAGGTGTCGAAATGTTTGACAACTCTTTATTTATGGTCCAATATGTTTCATATTTAAAAAGCTTGACAGATATTCCTTCGAAGCTTCCATAAGTCAAAAAGCTGCCACTAACTTTAGAATCGACTTTATTTTGACTTTGAATGTGCCTATTTGTTTTATTTTCAAAGTGGTAGTATTTTGTTATTTTCCTCAATTAAAATTATATTTCACTTTCATAATTAATAAATAATAAAACTCTTTCTTCCACACCGCATAATGTAACAATATTTTTTATAAAACCATTTTCTTCTTCCCATTTCATGTCAATCACCAAAATTCGCGGCTACTTGTGGAAATTAAAAAAAACCAACAATCCACTGAAAAACTGGCTCACCATTACCGCCTGAATTTGCTGCTTTCGTTTAACGAATTGTTCTTTACGGAAATTCGATTAAAATTCATCAACAATTGAAATTGTTATTGGCCGACGAACTCGACAAATGACAATAACGTTAAATGTGTTATGGCATCCCACATTGGTATCTGGCTTCTCTACCGTTTCCCTGCTGCCTGCCATCTGCCGCCTACTGCCTGCTAATCAACTGGCAACGTATTTATCAACATCGGTATTCATTAATTTTTCCATGTCGTTCGCATAAATTTATGCTTGTTGCGCACAATTTTGTGGCGTATTTATGTCTGTTTGGTGTCTCGCTCGCTCACAGAGGCCTGCCACCCATACGAGCCATTCAAGTGTCCTGGTGATGGTAATTGCATTTCGATTCAGTATTTATGCGATGGTGCGCCCGATTGCTCCGATGGTTACGATGAGGATTTGCGACTTTGTACGGCAGGTAAGTGGAAAAAGCAGAAAATTGAATTTGTAACTGTTTTATGTATGTGTGTAAAATGTACCATTTCTACGAAAAATTTTAAATATTTTTAGATT